ATGACTATACTCCAGCTCATACTCAGAGCTATATACTCCTATATACGACTATACTCCAGCTCTTACTCAGAGATATATACTCCTATATACGACTATACTCCAGCTCTTACTCAGAGCTATATACTCCTATATATGACTATACTCCAGCTCATACTCAGAGCTATATACTCCTATATACGACCATATTCCAGCTCTTAATCAGAGCTGTATACTCCTATATACGACCATACTTCAGCTCTTAATCAGAGCTATATACTCCTATATACGACGTTACTCCAGCTCTTACTCAGAGCTATATACGACTACACTCCAGTTCTTACTCAAAGGCCACTGCAGCACCACGATTGCCCAGATCCATTAGAAACTCTGCGACCGTCCACATGTTTAAACCTCACTTTCAGACCTACCTTTCCACTGTCATTTTTAATACGTAATTTGGTTTCTTGCAGTCAGGTTGTTGGGCTGGCTTTTCTTTTGCCGGTTTTTGCCTCTGCTGTGTACTGGATATGAGCTATTGCCCAGTGCTTCGAATTTGCTGAAAAGTGCCAATAAATAAAACTTTTGTTTTAAAAAAAACTAAAATATAAAGGAGCAACTACACAACGCTGGAGCAAGAGAGGCTGTGCAGATGCTGATGAACTAATTTTATTATAGCTTTCTCTCACAGCAGGGAGACCAGGTGTCTCACTCCCTGGGGCATCTGTTGACATTTACCAGCTGTGTTGCTCTGTCTTATTTTGGGCTGCTTGTGTCTCATTACAGGTCTCGCTGGCATATTATACAAGTGACAGGACGTTTGCATAAAACAATAACCTAATGATAATTAAAACACAGTTTCAACCGACCAGTCTCCACTGCAGAGGGCTGATTGCTTTTTGTTTCGAGAGAAACAAAGTGTCCTCTTGAAACAAACTGGACCAGAGGGGATTTGCACTGGAGCACTAATAAACAGGTGCTCCAGGTTCTAGTGATAGCACTGCACTGCCACAGCTCTCTGCGGAGTCCTAGACCATCTCTGAGTGCTCACATTCCCTTGAAACAAAAACACATCATGCAAATGCTGCAATTAAGTGACAATAAGCCTGGTTTCGGTTTGAAATTGTTGCTCTATTGTACTGATTTCGAATTGTATGCTAGCGAGTGTAAATCTGTTTCATGCAAGTTTAAGATGAGCGGGTGTTAAGGTATGTAATGTAATGAAATCGACTGTCAGAGGAGTGTGACAATCTCCTCTGTAGCTCACATCCCAGCGGCCACTGCATGTAGAATTCAGCGTGTGACTAGCTATGGACACACATGATTGACCACCAGAAGTTTACTACAAGTCAACCAGATAACGAGAGCTACTCTCGCCTCAATGTGTTGTAACGATGTTTGGTGCTTCATTATCAGAAGTATTTGCAAACCGGAGGTGCAGTCCTGCCACCTTGTGGCCATAGTCTGTACCACAGGTAAGTAAGATCTGGGCAGGGAACCCCTACATGCAGTTCCACAGAATTGGTTTCTATAATTCTGATAAATCGGGCTGATAAATTGGATTACATAATTGGATTACATTAGTGTTCTGCAACAAAAAAAAAAACTCAGAAGGATTATGGATAAATACTGTAAAACTTATCTCTGCCGGAAAATACTCTCATCACCCACACAATCAAAATCCAGGCTCTTCTTTCTATCTACACTAACATCTCCACTCTGCAACAGCGCCCCCTGGTGGCTAAGACGGCCTATACACCCAGACATAATCTGTTTGCTATCAGGAGTAAAACAAAGGAGCCCCCATAAAAAGCCTTCGCAACAGCCACTATCTGTAACAGGGTCTTGGCTTTTGCAGACAATGCCATTTCCATACATGAATCCACTTTCTAACCTCTTTATCCAGTTCGGGGTCGCGGAGGAGCTGCAGCCTGTCCTGGCAGATGTCAGGCCCAAGGCAGGGTACGCCCTGCAGGGCACGCCAGCCCATCGCAGGACAAGCACAGGCACAGACACGCACACACTCACGCCAGGGCCAGTGTTCCCAGAAGACAGTTAACCTACCGCCGTTTCTTTGGACGGCGTGGGAGGAAACCAGAGCCCCTGGAGGAAACCCACGCGAACATGAGGAGAACATGCAGACTCCACGCAGACAGCACCCCAGGCGAGGAATTTAACCCAGGGCCCCGGCGCTGCGAGACAGAAGTGCTGACCACTGCGCCACCCTGCCACCCATGAGGCCATTGACTGGGACACCACCTGGGGTAATAAGTAATCATGGCATGAATTCCGATCTGGGTCTCTCACAGAGAGCGGATCTGGATGGCAGGTCAGCGTGGACTCTGAAGCTGCATTGAGACAACCAGCATTCCCTGTCCTGGTACGACTGGACCTGGTCCTGTCCTGACACAGCGCAGACGGAGCTTTGGACGGCTGGGATCCCTGGTGCCGGTGGGGGGATGGCGGACGTTTGGGGGTTGGAAAATTAGGAACAATTTGCTCACAAACAAAGCACGCCAAGGAAAGCACTCAGATCACAGAGACGCAGCACTGAGGATGAATATATCATCAGCTGTGAGCAGAGCTAAACTGTTGAGTGAGAAAGCAGTCCCACGTCCTCATTACAACAACATCAAGGAACAGACTACCTCTGAATCCGTTACATAAGCTGCACGTGTATCCAACCGGCCCTCAGGCATAGCCAGACTCTGAGCTGAACTCGGAGGGCTACCACTCCCCACTTGCACAATTTTGAAAGCAGCTTCGTGATACGAAAGAGCAGGCCCGGGAGTCATGTGAAAACATGTACTACTGCTGAAAGTCAAAAGGCTGGTCTCCTCAAGCAAGCTGGGTAAGTGAGGGTGGATATTCTCAAAGTGGATGCCAAATCCGCATCAGGGTCTGAGCTCCCCCCTCCCCTGCTCACTGCCCCTCTCGCCTGTTCTGCCCCTGGCTCGCTGCCCCTCCCCCAGCCCTTACCCAAGGTGCCCGTGCAGAGGCAGTTGTGAGTCCGGGGAGGCGGCTTGGTCTGGTGGCTGTCCAGTATCTGCTGCACCAGCTGCTCCACAGAGAAGCCGGTGCTGCTGTTCCCATTGCTGCAAGTCCACTTGATGCCATGAACTGCCGGGAGAGAGGAGACACAGTCGTCAGCCGCCGCCCAGCCCGCCAGCCATGCCACCCCCCCACACACACACACCTCCCCTGTAGACCCCTCACCTCTGGGGAGAAACAGAGGACCTGCCTTCACCAGCCACGCTAACCCTCAGCGTTGAAAGCCCAACTCCTGACTTCCCATAACCCCCTCTCTGCCTTCCCAGTGGCCAGCACTGAAATAGACAATCATCACTCATTGCACTACGGTCTCTGGAGTGCAGATTCCCAACATTACTCCACAGTTCTTTACATTTTGTAAAAATCTTCCAGGAGAGGTGTTTTCCCTGGAGCCAAAAGCTTTGAAATCAAAAGGGAGATCTTACAATGTTGGACAGACTAAGCTGGTTCTGCTGGAGCTGACCCTTAACCCTCATTTTAGCCACAGTGTGGCCAGTGGTCAGGGTTCCAGACTTCGCTGAGAAGCTGTGGGTTCAGATGCCAGGTTTGTAGCTAATATTGCGCCCTTGTGCGAAGCACAAAATTGCTCCACTTAAATAACCAGCTGTACAAATGGGAGCTATTGTCAAAACTCAAGTGTCAGCCTAATAATTTAGCAATATAAAACAAAGAAGTAGTTGATTTTTATCGGATTTCTGAGACTGCCAGTCATTCCCGATTGGCAGCAGTACCCTTGCTGTGCCTGTCCTGCTCCTCACTCCTTAATATGGTCAGGCCTGCTTGCTGGCATTACAATCAGATAGTGCCAGAGGGCTAGTGTTACACCAGGACGATCTTCCTGAATGGCTCAGATGTGCCCCTGCTGGCCAGCTGTTGTAGTGCAGCCTGTTGTCTTGCAATGCAGAGACCGGCTCTCTGAAAGTGCCGTTCCCCTGTATTCCAGCGGGTGTGATGCAGAAACTGCTGAGGAAGAACAAAGTGCTGTGCAATGCAATAAAATAACCAAAAGACTGGATGTAGCACCACTGCTTGAGTGCAAACCTCCCTCCCTCCACAGCCATTCTCTTGATTTGTAAAGAAACTCCACTTCTATCACTCCCCCACTGTAGGTTGTCAGTGTGCAGAAACTTTCAGACTGACCTCTGGGGAAAATAAAAATACTCAGGTACAACACAAAAGCTGCTTCTGTCAGACTTCTTATATTTGATTTTCTTTTACTGTATCATTATCATATTATTATAATTATAGAATTACAGTAATTATACTGTATAATAACAACAATTGCATCCATCTGGGGGACCCGGAGCCTGTCCCGGCAAGCTGTGGACACAAGGCAGGGCACACCCTGGATGGGACACCAGTCAACAGACACAGGCATGCACAACACAGCCAACTTCCCAGAAGCCAATTCATCTACCAGTGTGTCTTTGGGCTGCAGGAAGAAACTGGAGCACACAGAGGAAACTAATCCAAACATGGGGAGAACATACAAACTCCACACAGACAGCACCCCGAAACTGAACCCAGGTCCCCAGCGCTGTGAGGCAGTGATGCTAATCAGTGCACGACTGTGCCACCAGCAACAAATACATAATAACTGTTGCTATTTGAATCTATGCATATGATGCTGTAGACATCTATTTGCCTACTGCAGAAACTTCGGTCATGAATGAATGATACTACAGTACTGTTTACTGAGACACAACGCCCACCAGAAGGAACCCAACAAGCGTGTTTCTCTGCAACATCATGGCGAATCGTCCATTGCCAGTCAGTCTTGAGAGCACAGTGCAGATGAGCCCTTCTAACGCGCCTGACTTCGGCTGCTAACGTCAACTTACATGTACAGTATGAAGCAGAATGAGAAGTCTGTTTGGACAGCTCTGCCTTCAGAGCTGATTAAAATTCACACACCCGTAATTCACGGAGATTGCTTGCTGTTCAAACACACCCTGAAAGCTGTTAAACACTCAGTGCCTTGCTTTTTAAAGAGTGATAGTTCTATGGGAAGTGTTTTTCATCCTGCTTTCACCCGGGTTGCTGTGCTGCTGCTGCTACTGCTCATAAAACTCCTGCTTCAAAAAATTATCTATGAAAATACTTCCAAAGCTCTGGAGAGAACCAGATTTAGAATATCAAACACAATCAAGGCAGCTTTAATATCGGCGCCCCACGCTTCAGTACTCCTGCGAGCGGGGATCTGCGAGAGCGGGCGCGAGGGAGGGAGACAGACAGGAGAAGACAGCAGGGAGGCAAGGTGACGGGGGAGGGAGAGGTGAGGGAGGAGGAGGAAGCAGATGGAAAAGGGAATCTGTTTTTTTTTCCCCCTTAAAAATGAGCTGGAGAGCAGGGGGGGGGGAGGGGATTGTGTCGGTCCCATGTGGTGGCTCCGCTCAGTCTCGAGTGATGCTCTAGCGTGTACAAGCTCTGTTCTGAACACCCCCCGTGGTAAGATTTCCCCCGAGAGGTAATGACAGTCCAGATTATCGCACATCTCTTCAGTCTGCATCTGGAGTGGTGACCGTTTTCGGAGAGCGAGAGAGGGCACAGTGTGCCCCTGACTTGCAGAAACGCAATAAGAGATACATTTGGACAACTTCTCGTGTGACAAAATGAGGCCCAATGACACACAGTACAAACGAGGGACTGAGAGTCCGTCATCCAGCTCTTGATGTCTCTGTCACGGATGTCCAAAGGGACTAACCGTGGGGAGCAGGAGAGCGGAAAAAGACCCATATGCGTAGCGGCGAGACGGGAAAAAGGCCCGGGCTCATTAGTGCAAAGAGTTCAGGAATGCCGTATAGAAACCTATGCCCTCAGGGAGCGGACGTGGGGCGCCCTGGTGCTAGGCGGGTCTCAGGACATCCGAACGTCAATGCTGAGCGAGGACAGAGAGCAAGACCCGGAAATATATAGCCCAAGGGAAAGAGAGGGACTGGAAGGACAGCAGGCCAGAAAACTAGGGACAGGACAGAGAAGGAGCGCCCTCTGGCTGCAGAGGGCGTGACAGTCTCCTGACTGGATATACAGCTCCCCGCACTCCCCTTCAGACAGCGGGGGATTTCACTGTCTGAAGGAGAGCGGAGGATGCATCCTTCAGAGTCAATTTTGCTTTGCGTGGTTATTGACAGTGGAAACGAGGCCTGCGTCCAGACGGAGACGGGTGTGAGGGCAGGCAGAGGTGGAGGACGCACAGAAGAGGGGCAGAGAGACAGGTCATCTCCCATCAGAGCACCCCGAATGCGCAAGGCAGCGTGGGCTCAACAGAGCGAGGCCCCTCTGCAGCTCGCCTTCCTGCACAGAGTCGTCTCGCGCTGCTGCTGAGCCTCTCAGGTCAGATCATCGTGAAGAGCGGGGGGGCTTTCACACATCCTCAGGACCCCTCTGCTCAGGACCCCTCTCCCCGACTCCACGAGCTCAGCGCAGCCCGGCCCTCCTCTTCCCCTGCAGCTGCCCCTGTCTCGCCCCAGCCCCACCCCCTCGCCTGTCAACCCGCTGTAAGGAAGAGTGCCTCGACCCCCATGTCCACAACAACTGCAGATAAGGTGCACAGGACGTCTGGAACCGCATTCCATTACCGGAGTGCCGAGCAACATGTCTGCAGTAGGAAACCTTGTCACAGTCTTTCAGAGCAGATTGAGAGAAGAGCTCGAAGGTTCGGCTTGTAATCGGACTTGTCAACAGACTTCACTTAACGGCTTCTGAACAGGGACCTCAGTCAATACCTGCACGCAAGTGCAGCTGTACTCAGGAGGAGGCTGCAAATCCACTGAAGTGCCCTTGATTTGACACCTTCTAAATTAGATCAACATAGTTCCAGTGCATACAAACAAACTCGCCTATGCATTTGTGTCAAAAGTTCAGCTGGGGCAATCAACTGTAGGTGCTGTGCAGTCCCAAAACCATGCCAGATGATGACTAATAAGAGGGGTAAAAAGATAAAGACACAGCAAACCACACCTTAAAGAACACTAAAACTAATCAGGGATATGTAAGATTTTCTCTATTTGCAAGATTTTCTCTGTAGGATTTCTCTGTTAAGGTTTGCCATGTGTGCAAAATATTCTTGCGTGAGGGACACAAGACACCTGCTGCTGCCACAGAAAAATCCGACAGGCTGAACAAGCAGACTGTTGTCTCACATATATGGAAGTCTGTAGGAAGGATCAGAGGTGAACTCTAAATATACTCATCCTAAGATATGCCATGTTGGGCACATAGAGGGGATGTTTTAAAGCAAGAAAGGATGTCTGTGAACAACGGTAATCCGATCAGATAAGGAGAGGATTGCTCTGCTCATTCTGATCACCACAGAGCCGCTTCGTGAAGAAATAAACTTCTTCCAAATCTGCACTGGACTACGCTGTGACTCCTTGCTTCTCTACAGATACTGACTGCACTGCATTTCCATCTACTGCAGGATCTGTAACCTTGAGGATCTTGAACACAATCTGCAATAGTATGCATGATGTATGTCAATATTAACAGTCATATTGTTTTGTCATGACTCATGGTTGTACGATAGATGTGATGTGTACAGTTTTGTAATGTATTCAGATGTATATATAAATGAGCTCCTAGGGGACGATGAAGTTTATGTCATCATTATATTATTTAATGTCTGCATGACTGTCTTTGGAAGTTGCCACAGAGACAATGGGTTTACTTAGTCCAATAACAAAGTCTGTGGGGTTCAAAACCAGGTCTGTCGTCAGAATAACAGTGATGTGGAGAACAAAAAATAAGAAAACAAAGCTCTTTATGCTGTCTGCCTACTCTCCACCCATTGATTTGCTGGTATCGGGGAACATCTTGGGCATCGCTGCACCACCAAACACCCCCACAAGGGGGAGCTCAAGTGTGTATGAGCTGCTGGTGGCAGTGTTGTCACAGTCCTGTGACCAGGCCCCCCCGCCATACTGCCATACTGTAATCTGCTTCCTGACCCTCCTCACTGGCCAGGGGGAGAGGGACAGGGGGACTCTGTCACACGGCAGTCACTCACAGGGACTGTGGTGACGGAGGGGTGCGTGTCGGGTGCGACACCTCCTCAGTGAGAGAGTACAGGCTTGAGTGAGGAAGGGTGCCAGGGTGGACTGCAGGATCCTAAGCCAAACACGGAAGAAAACTGGGACCAGCTGATGCTGGAAACAGAGACCTGGTGATCAGACACTCAGTTCAGCTTTATTCCCCAGCTACAGACATGCATCGATCATTACAAGAATAAAAAGAGTACCTGACCACCAAACACGAGGGGTTATTTTATTCTTCTAATCAGATAGATTGTAATTTTGTCATGGTATCTGGTAGTGAAAGAGTCTTTTACTGTCATTGAAGAGGAAGGACGCAGGATGAGGAAAGATATGTGTTTTGGGGGCATGACTGGGAGGCAAGGGGATTCCCCGACCGAGCTTGTCCACAGAGCGCAAGACTGGGCGATCTGGAGACACCTGTGGAATCTGAGCCCCCATGATCCTTGCAGAGTTGCTATGAGGTGGGTGAGGTGAAATATTAAACACAGATCATATTAAAAGAATCAGCTTTAATCAGGAAATAACGTGTGATCAATCACAAAACACTTTAGCACAATTTGGTCTTTTGCGCTGCGCAGGGCCTGAACACATACAGTATGGTCATACAGAAGGCTGACATTTTTAGCGATGGTGGGATAATGAGGGAAAGCTGGATATCTCTACTGAATCAGAGGATTTTAATATATAGGGACCCTCTTAGTATATACCTCCATATAAATCAGTGACAATGCTTATATAAATATAAAAATAAACCAGTTGATAAATGTCTGAACCTCTGTTTTAATTCACATGTTGGAAGTTAATTGTTTATTATCAGTTAGCATACTATCTTCTTCTGTCATCTACAGATTTGTGGCATTAGTCTGCATTTTGTCTGCTCTAGAGAATAAACACTGTGACAACGTAGCAAAACAAACAAATTCCTCTGTACCTCTGGTAGATAAGTCTTAGTTACAGTGTCTAGACTGTCCTTTTTATATCGGCTGAGCACATCTCCCACAGAGACTGATCGTATCATTCCACAACCGAGAAATATGGAATAGTACTCTTCATGTGCTCTGTTTTGCATTTCTCATACATAATACAGACGTGCAGGTTGATGTGTGCAAGTGTTCTGTATTAAATATAGGTTGCACAGGACAATATGTATAGCTTGGGTGGCTGATGTATAAGTTTAATATGAATAATATATGGATGATGTAGAGTACAGTATCCTTGTTCCCCCTCTCAGTGTGATTGAAGGCCAGAGCTGGGCTTGTGCTGGTGCAGTTCTGCCAGTAGGAGGGGGTGTTGGTCTGCGGTATCTCCCGGCAGGAGCTAGGTCAGTCAATGTGAGTGCAAGGACTGCGCTCGTCGAATTACACAACACCTGGAATTTACAGCTGCTGCCCCTGCACCGGCCACTGCCACCTCCGGAGCCTCTCAGGGGCCTGACCATCTTTTTGTTTTTAACGCATGGCGAGTTTGCACTGAGACGGGAACGCTGCGGAATGTGTCTCTCTCACTTCGCACCTCTTGTTCTGTTCGATTTCAATCCAGATGATAACCCCCCCCCCACTATGCATGATTACCACGGTAACATCACCCTGATCCAGGGAACAGATCTGCATACAAGGAACATCCCATTGGCTGAGTTATGCTCTCAGTTTTCTAGGATTGAAACGAATCTTCCACATCACTCCCACCACGCTGCAAACTTCCCTGCAGCTCCCAGCAAGCGCAAGACACTCAGATCAAATTTCACAAGATGATTTCCCATAATCTGCTTTATAAATAAGCACCGGGTTCTGCCACCAGCACCACCCATCTATCGATCATTCCAGTTGAACCAAAATCTTTCCGCCTTTCATAGAAACCACAACAGGTGAAACTAACCCCCACTGTAGCAGAGGCGATCACTGCAATCTGCTTAAGAGTAACCGGTTGATTTAAGTGTTAAATAAAAGACAGATAAAGAAATGCCTACACCATACAAGTTCCAAATCTCAAATTAAATTATTTCGATGTCTCAAGAAAAAAAAAAAGTAAGACCACATAAATGAACCCACAAGCAAACAGATGGACAAAACATGAAAACAGTGCAGATCACCTTCAGGATCATAGAAGACACAGCAAAGTACAAAAACAACGACAGCTCCTTTTCCAGTCTTGCCAGGTGAATCAGTGTATTTCATTTCTGGACATGTGGTGGGAATGAGCCGAAAGTAGCTGTTCTACCATTTTATGTGTTACATCACCATGCCATCATGCTGACATTGTGCCATCCTTCTCCAAGGAAAGGCAATGCTCATCCATCCTTTTTTTCTAGCTACTTCATTCAACTGAGGGTCGTGGGGGAGCCTGACCCAATCCAAGCAAGCAATGAGCCTATCCCAACAGGCAGGGAAACCAGCCCATCACAGGGCACACACACCGACGTCAATGTCCACACACACCAGGGCCCATTAACCTACCAGCATGCGTGTGGACTGTGGGAGAACACTGGAGCGCCCGGAGGAAACCCATGCAAACCCAGCAAGAACATGCAAACTCCACGCAGACAGCACCCCAGGTCTGGATGTGAACCCAGGACCCCAGCGCGGTGAGGCAGTGATGCTGACCACTGAGCCGCTGCGCTGTCCGGAAAGGCCATCTGAGTAATCAAGTCATATTTTCACACTGCGGCACTTGTTGCTGAAAGGGGAGCGAGAGCAGCCCTGAGCTGGACAGACAGGTGGGTACTCACACATCGGCTTGAGCTGGCCGATCAGCTCCTCCTTGGTCCACTTGGCCCATTCCTTCTTGTCGGTGTTGATGGAGCACAGGATGGGCCCACAGGGCTTCCCACAGTCCTCTATAGCAGGCACATTCAGGTAGTGCACCAGGACGATGTCAGGGTTCTGCAGCACAGAGACAGAAAGTGTGAGTGTGGGAGAGAGAGCGGAGCACGTCTAGGTGGGCTTCCAGCAGGAAGGCAGGGCCCTGACAAGAAAGACCGGGAGACGGAGAGTGAGGCAGTGCAGAGCGAACTCAGGCAGAGCACCGCTGATGTCGGGGTTCTGAAGAAACACGGGGAGACGCGGTGACTGTGTGAAAGCACTTTTAGATCCTGTACCAGTACAACATCAGATTGCTACACATTAAAGGGAAAGGGGGGGGGGGAAGATTTGTCACTCAGAAAAGAGGGGAGACGCTGAACTCTACAGATCTCTGCTGTATGTCTTTCATTTGGAGTAATTGCCCCGTGTGTGCACGTACGCCCACACACACACAACTGTGTATACACTTTGTGGAGATGGTGTCCTCAATTAGCTTCAATACATTTCTCAACTAAAATACAGCTATTTACAGCCAGTTAGAATTACCTCAATAAATTACCTAAATTGACAACTTATGAATAATAGGTGCTGTTTAAAAGCACGTCAAGCTAAAGTGAATAACATCAATTCAGTTCACTGAGCGTGAATAGCTTTGATTACTAACTGGTATAAACAGCCATATGAGGAAAATAATCCCACACTGCTTTTATAGGCCTATTCATAGGTACTGAGACAGACATGCACACAAACTGACACGAG